GCCTGGAATGCTCTTTCCCACGTGGTTTTCAGCTTCATTCTCTCAGTCTCAAGATATTCCTCAAAAGTCACTTTCATGGGCAGGCCTTCCTTGGACATCCCACCAAAAATGTCAACACTTCCCTCTGCCTCCCTCTTCCTGCTCTCCCTTCCCTCCTTATTTCTTCTTCGTGCTCGTGATTACCTACCTCAGCACGCACTCACCTGTATACCTTGTTACCCTTCTCCCCCACTTGGAGGCATGCTTTGAGGAGGGAAGGGGCAGGGGTTCTTGTCTGGTTCTGTTCTCTGCTGGGTCCCAGCCCAGAGCTGTGCCTGGCATATTGTAAGAATAAACCTTAGTTAAGAAAATCAACCTGCATAAAGCCGAATGCTAGAACCACAGGAGGCGAGACTGCAGAGGAAGCAAGGAAAGACGGGACTGGAGACGGCAGGACGACGAGACAGCCCCTCTGAGGGCAAGGTGTGTTAAGAGGAGCAGCCTGTGGAGGAGCAGGCGCAGACTGAGGAGAGAACTGGAGGCATAAGGGAGCAGGTGATGGCATTTCGAGAAGAAAATGACCAGTGGGCTCCAAACTATTGAGCAGAGGTGATTTCTAGGGAGAGAAGAATTCATGGCTGATTAAAGACTGAGAAAAAGAGTATTTTCCTAATTTACCCTCAGCAGGAGAGTAAATTGAACTGTCATCCTAGAGGACAACTTGTCAGTGTCTGTTAAAATGTGATCATATACTGTAGAATCCAGCTGTTCCATTTCTCAGTATCTTCCTTATAAAAGAAAAAAACAAACCTCACGCACGCACAAGGATGCATGCTGTGAATCTTTTCTACAACATTCTCAGTGATAGCGAAAAATTGGAAACAACCAGAAAAAGGAATGACTAAATAAATTGTAGTGCATACATCATGTAAAATGCTACACAGCACTGAAGAAGAACGCAGCCGCTCCATGTGTGTGACAGGACTGGGGCACACGATGCAGTGCGAAGGGAACAAAGCATGGTCTTGAATGCCGTGGTCTTACTGCCACTGAAAAAGACAGAGGGAGAGAAGAATTAGGGGTGATTTTTAAAATGTTGTCCTTTTCTATAATTTTAAAGTTTTTTTAAAAAAAAAAACTATGAATCTGCATTACATTGATAACTTGATTTTTTAAATTTAGAGTTCAAAAAACATATTTGTTTTTACCATCAAAAGTACTTTAAAGAACCAAGAAAGGAGGTGGGTCCGAGAGGGGTGGGGAGCTCTGGGAAGCCATTGAATTGCGATGGTTTCCTGACCTCTGAGAGGGCAGGCTGTGGACCTGGTGAGCTGAAGGCTTCCCTGCAGGAGGTGGGCGGGTAGAAACACAGCAAAAAGGAAGGCAGCAGGCGCAGGCGGCACTTCCCACAGTAGGGGAGGGGAAGAGTATTTGGAGAAGAGCAAGAGAAGCATTTTTATGGCTGAAGGAGACTTGAGGGTTGCAAGGTATCAGTAGGTGGTTGATTTGTAAAGTCAGTTCTGTATATCGATGAATGATAAGTCATATAATACCGGCAGCCAACAAGGGCCAGGGTGTTCACCGCAGCGAAGCAGGGAGCATCTGCACCCCCCACAACTGTAGACCCAGCAGGCAGAGAGTGGTACCTTTGCAGGCCCTCCTCTGTAAAATCTGCATCTGAATTCTGTGTTTCTTTTAAAATTACAGCTCTTTATCATTTCCCGAAGCCCTGCTGGCTTTAGAAATAGGCCTGATCTTTTCTGAACTTACCATGCCTTTAGCAATCTGAAAATTTTTGTTCTCTCTTTATTATCCATGAATTATAATAACTCAGCAAAATGTTTCCACTATGACCTCAATGCTGGTGAAGCTAAACTAATGCTTAACAAAAAGTTCTAAGTAATTTCCCTGGCCACGCTTGCCCCTTGCATGCTGTACTTAAGTTTGCCAAATGACCCACTCAAAGGGCTTGGAAGGAATTGAAACCAATCCAGAAAATAGAATCCACCCTACATAGCTGAGACACCCTGTGTGCCATTCTCCTGTGCTAGCTATGCATCGGTGGCCCTCGCTCGTGGGCGTGAGTATGCCTCTGTGCTGAGTAGAGGAGGGAGAGAGGTCTGTTTACCTTTACTTTCTGACCAGTGGCATTTAAATCATTCGCAGATGGTGAGCAATTCCACCAGCACCGGCAAGAAGGGAGCCTTTTCCATGTCCCTTTCGTTTATTTAGATCCCCCTTGAAGAATGAGGTGCCACTTCAAAGAGGCAGGCGGGCTGCAGGTGGCCTTATAGCTTCTGGTTGATTTATGCTGGAGTTTACCCACTGCCTTTGCACAGGCTTTGTTTCAGGGAGTATATTTATCTGACCTTTCTTTGACTAGACAACCCCACAGCAGCTCATGGGAGGAAATGGGTGCTCCATTTAGAGAGGTGGCATTTGGATGAGCTGCAGGAATTCCGGGGTGTCTAGTGTTTGATCCCTTAAGCCTTAGAGCCAGCTCAACACCTCCCAGAGTGATGGGAAGGGAGTGTCCTGGGGCTGAATATTCAATGTAGACTCTGAGGCAGCTTGTCACTTTAGCAAGAATCAGACTTAGGTCACTCTGTGGGTCAAAAAGTGTCATGGGCAGTGCCCAGGGCCATTCTATGTTTGCTTCTTCAGTGAGCCTGTATTAAAACCAGGCACTTGGAGAGAATTCTGGTCAGTGAGGAAGACACGTGCCCTTTAAGACCATGAGAGCCTGTACTTTGCGCCCCTGTAGAGGGCAGAGTGATGAGTGGTGTGTCTCTTAGGAGGGTTTCTTCCTGTTGGACTTAATTTGCCCGAAGATGAGGTGGACCCCCACTATTGAGCACCCCTCAACTCTATAGGGTGAGTGATTCAGTGGATCAAATACTGTTTCTGAGCTACACCATGCCGTGTAAGTGCCACTGTCCTCTTAAAACGAACTCCAAGCTCAGATGTCACATGAGGCTCAGTCAGCAGGCCCTGCAGGAGGGCCAGGGGCAGGTTACAGCGTGCTTGCCTCCTGGGGCCTCCTCCCATAGGGCTGCTCCTCGCTCACAGTCCATGCACCCTCACTTCTCCAGGCCTTAGAGAGTTGGCACTGGATTTTAACCGCAGAGCGGCAGCACCTTGCCTCACAGGTGGGGGTGGAGGGCTGGTGTAAGGTGGGAATGGAGAAGCTGTTTTGCTCCTGATTTCTTCCTGTCAAATTGAAGTTTGTCGTCAGACAAATGCAGCTCCAGGAGTGTCATCAGACAAATGCAGCTCCCCCGTCCTGAGGGGTTGCTGCTGAGGGAGCGTGGGATCCCAGAAATCTCTGCACATGGACTGCCTTTATGTCTCCCTAGATGATCAGCTGCCTTTCCACACGAGCTGGACCACTTCATTTAAACAAGTCATGGGTCCAAGCTGAGTGTCTTCTTCAAAGACGTTTAAGAACAAAACACTTAAACAGGATACAATAAATATGCCAACGAAAAAGATGCAACCATTTTTTAGAGACGCATTAGCTGACGCGGGTCAATTAGGGCCACCTCTGGGCACCCAGGGAGTGCTGTCTTGTTAATGGAGATCCTTGCTGAGTCTTTTTCTGAAGTTCCTTTCCAGAAGTGAAATTAAAATTGCAGAATTAAAATGTTCACAGTTGGGGCTGGATGTTCTTGAACTGATTGAAAGATGAAGAAGTGGACACACCAACATTTTGAAACAGCAATTGTCTCTGTAATTAAGTGCAATTAGCTGACATAACTGTTTGCTTTACTCCGTGTAAAACTGATTGAAATGGCAAGACTTTAAAGAGTATGCCCCCGTCTGTTTTCTCTTTCCATCCTAACCAAAATTCTCACCAACATATGAAGACCAACAAAGGTAATGATCGGCACACTCACTCTAATATTGATGTTATAGGATAATATATCCAGGAAACTGGAGAGAAATACATTGGAAAAAATAGAGCTCTAGGCTGTCTAATGTACATCATTTCATCTAAGCCACACACCTTTGCATTTCCACAATAAAAAGATTAAATCCAACAATTATTCCATGACTGATCTCTGGGGAAGGAGCCATTGAATGTAAGTGATAACCAAAGGTAAGAATAAAATAATCCAAAGGTAAGAATAAAAGTTACTTCATTAGCTTTTCTAAAAAACTTTTTTTTTCGGATTATTATAGGCAATCTGGAAAATGCTGAAAGAATAAAGAGAAAAAAATTTCCCATAATCTCACCACAGACAGATATTCAATGGGTATTTTCTTCATCCTTACATACATATTTGAATTCATATTGACTATATATTTTAAACATGTATTATACATATTTGTATCCTAAGTTTTTGCTTATATTGCAAGTATTTTTCTTGCCATTAAAAAAGTTCATAAACATTTTTATAAATGTCCAAATGGACGTTCCACCATTTATTTGGCCATCCTCTCATTATTGGATATATAAGTTATTCACAGTATTTTGCTATCATAATAATAGAGAAAAGACATCTTGTTGCAAAAATCTGCCTGTATTGTTTTATTTTTTTCTTTGGGAAGCTTTCTTTTAAGTGTAATTTCCTGGACTAAAGGTTAGAATCATTTTTTGAGGCTTTTGGTAGGTACTGCCAGATTGCCCTCCAAAAGGTGCTCAATGTGTACTTCCATCAGCAGGATAAGAAGTTGCCTGTTCCCCCGAGTCTTCTCCAGCACTGAGTGTGGTCTCTATGAGATTGAGCCTCTGGAAAGCCCAATAGCCCTTTACTAGAGAAAGCTCATTGTTTAACAGATCACTTTGGTGTGGGACAAATAGCAACTGAAACCTGAATTACTCAGGCCTCTGGCTGTGCTTCCCAGCAAAGGTGAGGGCACCTGGGACCAGCACCCAGAAAGTGCCTACCAGGGCAGTTAAGTGATACCCATGAGCAGCTAGATGACAGACAAACTACTGTCATCATGAAGACTGCTACCAATCAGGTTAGTTTGAAGTCTGACCCCATGTCACTCACCTCCTTTTCTGTCCTTCCCAGCTGTGTTGGCCAGAGATGGACACGAGGTAATCCTAGAGAAGATAGAAGACTGGAATGTGGTGGAACTCATGGTGAATGAAGAAGTCGTCTTCCACTGCAACATTAAGGACTTGGAGTTCGGTAAGCCCTTTGGCGACATTTCCAGCCAGGATTTTGCCTCCTCTGAGGAGTCCCTCAATTTCTAGTTGAAATGATCAGTATGTCATGCCTGAATTCAAATTGGGTTTCTTTCTGAGGCTGAAACTTCTACTGAAAGCCCTGTGCTTTCAGTGGCACACACAGGAGAACATCCAAAACCACACAGTAAAGTGTGTGATGCTTTGAGTCTTCCCAAACATTGGAAACAGCAGAGGAAGGAAAATGAAGTGAAGCCCTGGACTTCAAGGGATGTGATGGAATTAAGGGATAACAGTTTTTTTTTGTACTTTAATAATATACATTCTATTATTATTTGCTTTTGAAGCTGCTTTTGTTTCACTTGTTTATTCTATCCTGACTTGCTAAGATAATTTGAGTTGATATGCCAGCAGTGCATGACACTATCAGCAACATTCACGTGATGTCTTTGTCCTGGAGAGCTTCTGGCCTGGCAGGCTGGCACCGTGCATGCCTCTCTGTGCTCAGAAGTTAAAGCTTTGCAATCCACTAACACTGTATTAAAAACTAGTTAACATTTTACCAGCCCGTGGCCTTTGAAAATGCACTCTGAGTGGAAGCCATAGGTATGTCTGATATGATAACAAATTGTATATAAAGCTGACCAAAAGACAATTATATCTATTTCCCTAGGAGGCGATGGTAAACTAGACCCACTGTGTGAAAAGGCCAGGATAGCCGTGCTGAACTCCTACTGATCTCCTCGTGGAACAGGCATCTCAAGTTGGTAGAACAGCAGCTGCCCCAGCCATTCTATGATACAGGGAGAAGTGGCTGTACTGCAGTGTGGACATTGGGCTCTACTAGTCAGGCAGGGCAACTCGGGCCTGATCTCCAGCTTACACAGCCTCAGGAATCTCACCCGGCTGCACAGGAGCTCACAGAAATAATAAAAACCACATCATTTGTAACATCTCTCAATCCCAACCCATAGGGAGAGCCCTCCAATATCAGGTACACATTGAGCTGAAGGAAACAATAAAATGCAATCAAATAACAAGGTGCCATTCCTGACTAATAACACATAGTTGCCAGAAGCATCTGAGATTCCATTGTTTAGTACTCAAATTGCTCAGAACAGGTAAAATTAAAGAGAGGTTGGGGGAAGGGTGGGAATAAAGGCTTTTGAAAGTCTGAACCAAAAGCAAATGTTAATATTTGGAAACTTTGTTATTCCTACAGATTTATTTCGACTCCTGAGGGAATAAATATTTTAAATTGCTGATATAAAATTAGCTGAAATCAAATCTTCAGTTACTCTCATCTAAAACAAGAAAATGACCTGCTTTCTTTTGCATTAAGATTGTCTAAGGAGGGCACGAAAGAGTCCTTGGCAGAATGTGAGATGGTTCCCTGGTCCCTCTGGAGTAGAACACCGCCCCACAGAGTTAAAGAGGGTTTTCGCTATGTTCAGTGTGAAAATCAGTCTTGTCAAAATGATATTTTTACTTTCCAGTCTTATGCACCAATGTGTGGTATACATTCTTAACTATACAGTAACGGAGAGGGGGAAATGCAGATACTGATCGAAAGACGTCAAATGGGAGGTCATGGTAAGAAGGCCTCACACCTATGAGAGAAAATCAGATTCCCTAACAGAAGACTCTGGACCCAGGGCACCTGTGCTGAAGGAGCAGGGCCTTCAGGATCACTCAGAGAGCTGCAGCCTTGCCCCCTCTGAGAGCAGTCCTAACCATTGCCCCAGGCAACCTCAAACCCTCCTGCACCCCAGAACTTCAAAGGCCACCGGGGACCATAAAACTGCTTTCACATGTTCTTTCTCACACAGGACAAAGTAGGGGATATAATTTTTAAAACCCCAGCCCAAGCTTCACTTGTCAGCGTTGATTCAGGGATTGTGAATCACTTAGAACTCTATGGAACTATTTAAGCATCTCCTTACTGAGAAACTGGGGCTCAAAAAAGATTTTTCCTCCCAGTGTCTGGTGCCGGTTTTCACATATCTTTTGTAACCCTAGATTTAGTCCCTTTCTGTCAAAGACCAGTTTAAGTTACTATAGATGTAGCATTCAATCTTTGTTTCAATATAACATTTTGCTACAAGAGAAATCCATTCTCATTAAAGAAAAATGGAAAAATACAGGTAAAAATAAAGTACAACTTTAGTAACATTTTTATATATTTCATTTTGGGTTTCTTCTATTTATGTCTAAATATTCATAAAGAGATAGACATGTAGAAATCAACTTCATCCATTTGAGATTTGTGCACAATTTTGTAAGTTTTTAAAATTTTTTCAACTTTTAGATATAGGGGATACATGGGCAGGTATGTTGAATCTTTTCTTAAATGTAACATTTTACATAGAGCCTCTTCCCACGTGATTTGTTGATTGTCTGAGCATTTTGTCTTGAATCAGGAAATCTCTCCCTTGAGCAGTGATTTCTACTTTCATGGCCAAAACTTTTTCAATGCTGAGAACTGAAATTGCTAGCTTCCCCTGTCTGCATTTGGAGTGGGAACTTCATCTTCAAAGGCTGTGGAATCCTGTCTCCTCTAGCCCTGCAACCCCAGCATTAAACTGGTACCAAGTGCTTCCCTCGGCAGCCCCATGCCCTCCTCCAGCATCCCCCTCAACATCCCAGGTTGTATTTGTGCCTTCAGGGTAGCACCACAAGCGAAGAGGACCTGCCCTTTTTCGCTTCATGACCAGAGCTGAAGGGCAGGTAAGGCGAGTTAGTACACGGATTCTAAGAAAAACCAGAGAAGCTTCTGGGAGATGCCTGTGCCCAGAGCCCTGTGTTTCAGTTCGGATTAGAGGCAAATGATGCCTGAATCAGCATTGCTGGGAAAAATCACTGAGGTTTCCTCTGAGCCATGGGATTGGGAAGTGTGGGGGACAGGTGAGGTAGAGGGAGGAGATTATAGGGTTATTCTGCCTTCTGTATTGTTAATGTTTTTAGTGGTGGAATTGATTTTTACTTCTTATGTAAGTGTGTGTTAGGGGTACTTTTCAAACAAAAACTTAAAATAAAATCAAGGCCGGACACTGTGCCTTTTGCCTATAATCCCAGCACTTTGGGAATCTAAGGTGGGTGGATTTGCTTGAACACAGGAGTTCGAGACCAGCCTGGCCAACATGGTGAAGCCTCATCTCTACAAAAAATACAAAAATTAGCCAGGCTTGGTGGCATGCGTCTGTAGTCCCAGCTACCCGAGGGGCTGAGGCAGGAGGATCACCTGAGCCCAGGAGCTAGAGGCTGCAGCGAGCCTAGATCACACCACTGCACTCCAGCCTGGGTGACAAAGTGAGACCATGTCTCAGAAAATAAAGATTTTGACATAGAAGCCACCTGTCTATGTGGCCTTATCCTCCTCTGTCACTGATTAAGAAGAACTTTCTCTTTGGAAATGTCTGAAGAATGTACTGTCATCCTCCTCCTTCGCCTCCCTCTCTCTTGAGCACGCACCTCCCGTCCCAGAAGCAGGAGACACAGCTTGCTCCCCACCAAAGGCAAAAGTGCCCTGTGCTTCAATGTGCTAGGCATTCGGGTGCCTTCATGCTTTTAAAATACCACTGATTAAATCACATTTTAAGTTTTATAAGATGCCAAGTCAATGTCATTATTATTAACATGTAAAGAAAGTGTCTTTTAGAATAAAGTTAGAAGCGTAGCTGTGTCTTAATTATTTGTTTTTGTTTTTGAGACAGAGTCTTGCTCTGTCACCGAGGCTGGAGTGCAGTGGTGTGACCATGGTTCACTGCAACCTCTGCCTCCTAGGTTCAGACGATCCTCCTGCCTCAGCCTCCTGAATAGCTGGGGTTACAGGCACTTGCCACCAAGCCCAGCTAATTTTTATATTTTTAGTAGAGATGGGGTTTCTCCATGTTGGCCAGGCTGGTCTCCTGACCTCAAGTGATCCGCCCACCTCGGCCTCCCAAAGTGCTGGGATTACAGGCATGAGCCACACTGAGCCTAGCCCTAAACTGTCTTTAAATGAAATTTGGAATCTCTAAACTTTTTCCATTTACTTCTAAAATTTAAAAAGAACAGATTTTCAAGGGGCCTTCCTGGGTTCCTGCCTGGGGCCTTATTGGCTATATCTGCTTCCTTGGTAAAATTGCCCTTAAAATCTGACAATTGGCTGGAGGCTGTGGCTCACACCTGTAATCCCAGTGTTTTGGGAGGCCAAGATAGGACATTTGCTTGAGGCCAGGAGTTCCAGACCAGCCTGGGCAACATAGTGAGACCTCATCTCTACAAAAAGTAAAAAATTAGCTGAGCACAGTGGCATGCTCGCTATAGTCCCAGTTACTTGGGAGGCTGAGGTGGGAGAATGGCTTGAACCCAAGAGTTCAGGACTTCAGTGAGCTACAATCACACCACTGCACTCCAGCCTGGGTGACAGTGCGACCCTGTCTCAAAACACAAACAAACGAAAAAACCTGATAATCCTTGCAAGAGGGCCATATATAAGGGAACTGTGTGAAAAATCAGCTCCCCAGGTAGGTTGCTGGGACGTCTCAGTGGTGTGGAGATGAAGGGAGGACTGGACACCTGTCCTGAACAAAATCACACTGGGATTTGTTACTCTGGTTCCCCGCTTCAGACATTCATCCCCAGCCCTGCAAGCATTACAGTTAGAGAAAGAGAACATCTCAACTGGTGACAACCGACAAACGCCCTGGGGGTGTAAGATTTCCACTAAAAACACAACAGTTGGCCAAATCCAGGTAAAAGACAAGAAAATGCTAGCCGAGGTCTCGGACATAAGAACTATTCTTCCCAAACTGTCTGAACATTGAAAAGGCTAGTGGAAGGGAGCTTCCTATGAGACAGTGGTGTAATCAGGCGCTCTAGTGGCAGCTGTGAGTGGATGCGCCCACTCATAGGACGGGGTACTGCACTTCTGCCCCGTGCAAATCAGAGCACACACATGAGGCCTCCAGAGTCAGGCAGTAGCAGACTGAGGGCACCACACTGGTGTAAGACAACAATAGGCTGGACAGCGTAGTGAGTGCCAGGGACGTGGGGAGCAGGCAGCTAGGCTAACAGCGGTGGCGGCAGCTCAGCTCTAGTGATGCTGCTGTGCAGGGTATCAATCTTCTGAATTGTTCCAGAAAAGCTGGAAATCTGGATTTTTATTAGAAACTTTTGGTTTTGAAATGTTGTTCAGTTTTTCTTTTTAGCCAACAGTAAAATTTTACTGAAAGGCATTTTTAAAACAGCCCAATAATATGTCAAGATTTATCATTTTTTTTTCTCGTGTTAACTTTTTATTTTGGTGGCTTGATCTTTTTTTTTTTTTTTTTTTTTTTTGACAAGGCCTTGCTCTATTGCCCAGGCTGGAGTGAGTAGCATAGTTACAGCTCACGGCAGTCTCAAACTCCTGGGTTCAAGCAATCCTCCTGCCTCAGCCTTCCAAATAGCTGGGACTACAGGTGCATGCCACCATTCCCAGATATTTTTTCTTATTTTTTGGTAGAGATGGCTTCTCCTATGTCACCCAGGCTGGTCTCGAATTCCTGGGCTCAAGCAATCCTCCTGCCTCAGCCTCCCAAAGTGCTGGGATTACAGGCACAAGCCACCACACCCAGTATGGTGGCTCAATTAAAAAAAAATGGTGCCAACTGAAAAAGCAGAACAACCACATTTGTGGCCCATTACTATGATGATCACCTGCTCCTGATCAAGGAGCATGGGACACCCCTTGCATGGGACACTCCAGTTTATACCTTTGGTCTGAAAGCCATTTTCCACATGAATTCCACCATCACCTTTCCCACAAGGCCCCTGGCTCTCCTGTCCACAGCTGTAGTGTGTGCAGACTACTCTTGTTTTAAGGAAACCACTTGACCCAACCTTTTGGTTATGCAAATGAAAAAGCAAAGACTCTTTGCAGATCTATGAAATAAAGACACTTGAGAAGCTGAGACCTAAAAAGCCTGATTGTTCCTGTGATCAGGTACAAGGTGGCCCAGCTGTAGGCAGAGCTCATCCCCCAGATCAGGTTGTCTGAGGGGAAGAGCCTCCAGGAAGATGTGAGCCTACTTTGCCTGCATGGTCACAGGTCTTTGTGAGCATTTGTGTCCCTGTTCTGTGGATGTTCTGTTTAGAGGAAGTCAA